TCGAGTACAGACAATTATCCTCTTGAAAGTATTGCCAATACTCTATATCCAAGGGAAAGATATCTGAATAGAGCTTCATACTGGTCCAGTAAAGGACAGCGTAAGCCTGATGTGCCTGAGACTCTTATATACAGATTAAAAGCTGATTTTGCCGTTGTGACTGAAATTAAAATACAACCCTTTCAAGGTATTTATTTTTTATTTTGGGCCATCACTGTTTTATCTTGCAACTGTTTATTCCATAATTTCTTGACTGTAAATTCAAATTTCTGTTCAGCCTTTTTTGAACCGGGCAAATCCATATACTCAGCAAAATCTGTACGATTTCGAATGGGCCACCCCAAATCTTCAAAAGAAATAGACTGTCTGGACGTGGCCACAGACCAACCAGCTGATGAGAAGTTTGTATGGACGTATACATCAGAAGAGTTCCCAATGTCCCAGGTCTTCTCTCTATACTATCTACATTTTGATTGTCCTGTAAACTTCAGCTTGAATTGTCTTGTTGCATATGCTGAACATAAGCACTGTATTGTTCTGATATGCTTAACGGCTAATTATTAATGAGAGGTACTATCATCTGCCCTCGATTTCAGCCTCATAATCTTTCTCTAATTCTTATGAGATCTGGTGCATTTTCTTTGTAATTAACATAAATCTCCATTGTTGCGCTTAAATCTTTGTGTTCCAGTTTCTATTGATTCTCGATGTTTAATTATCATCTTGTTGAAAATCAACTTCTGGTTAAAAGATGTATGACAATTCTACAATAAAACGAAAATGCAAAATCATATGACTTTTCCATGGACAGGAGAACTGCATGCAGGCATTCAAGCTGCCGGAACCAGTTCTTTGCATTGGTGGGTATCTGCAGATTGAGCTCCTCGGCAGAGTTCAGAGGAATGAATTTGATGGCTTATTTTATATATGGTTAGTATTTCAACTTGCATTTCTTAGGTTAGACATCGGCCATGTATTCTTGTCGGGAACCACATTTCAAACAACTAAAGCGGGTAGCTTACTTGTTTTTGGACTCGTGATGTGAAATGCCTGTTTTTCATTAATATGTGCAGTGTGTGCCATGTTAAAGTTCTGGGCCGACCCCTCAGCCCCGCATTTGAAATAAAGATCCTCAAACAATCTGGAAAATTCTCGATGGTTTACAACCCTGAAGTGTTGAAGCCCATGTTGCAATCCTTGGGCGAGGGTGAAGATCACGAGGCCTCCTCGATGCTGTCTGAGCAAGAGGTGAGACATATCGGTTTCTTGGGGTATTTGTTGGGCGGCAACCAACCAGTCGGTGAACTCTTGGAGTGGGACGACGAGGATGTGATGGATGCAGCTTTGGCATTGTGATTTACAATAAGCCATTTATATTTTTCATACCTTCTGCATTTGTGTTCTTTGTGCTAGCAACCACATGGAAGGCTCGAAGCCTATGTGCACTCAAATCTGTTTGGTAAATGGCTAAATGGCTGTTAGCTGATAGTTGTTAGCTGATTGTGTTAATTAGAGAGGATAACTAGTTAATAACATTAGTTGATTGTAGAAAAATGTTTGGTAAATTAGCTGTTGTTTGTATAATTTCTTTTTTGAAAAAGCTAATTGAAAAAGTTGTTTTGGAGTAATTTTTTGAATTTTAGCATTTTGAAGTTGCAAAAAGGTAATTAATCAAACACTTATATTGATTTTTTAATCAAATTAAATAATTAATAGTGGTCAAATAAGTCAAAATTAGCTGATGTGTTAAAAATTAGGAATTTTGTGATGCTTCAAGGGAGTTAGTGTCAGAGCTGAATGAAAACTTGTTAGTTAGGATTCTTCTGCCCTTTTTATACAGTATTATTATGAGTAATGCACTAAATAACTTACCAATATGGGCACAAGAGCTCTATGTACGATGTGTACGAATTTTTTGCACTTTTAGTCCCACGACTATAGTGGCACTGGCAAAATTGATCCACGACTTTTGAACCTTGCAATTTTAGTCTACGACTATTGATTTTTTTGCAAAAATGGTCCTTCTGGCCACTTTTTCGTCAAAATTTCATCGGAAAAAAAATTCTCTATTTTTATCCGGGTTAAAATTGACATTTTACTTATCTCAAAAAATTAAAAGAAAAAAATTGATATTTGACTACATACAATATTACTGGGCTACATACTACTGCCCCAGGCGGCGGAGTACATGTACCACTCCAATGCTGCTGCCGGATAACCCAACTAGCCCGGGGAACGCCATGATCGCTCCGCCGCTTACTGACAGTCCTGCCTGCTCCAGGAACTCCGCCGCCTAGGACAGTAATATGTAGCCCAGTAATATTGTATGTAGTCAAATATCAATTTTTTTCTTTTAATTTTTTGAGATAAGTAAAATGTCAATTTTAACCCGGCTAAAAATGGAGATTTTTTTTTTCCGGTGAAATTTTAACGGAAAAGTGGCCGGAAGGACCATTTTTGCAAAAAAATTAATAGTTGTGGACTAAAATTGCAAGGTTCAAAAGTCGTGAATCAATTCTGCCAGTGCCACTATAGTCGTGGGACTAAAAGTGCAAAAAACTCCGATGTGTACTGTGCTATGTAGCACGAAAACGTGAAACGGAAGATACGAGATGCGAAAGAAATAAATGTGTATTTATATTTTTGTTTAAGAGTTAATTCCAGCAATGGTCCTCCGACTATAGTGATTTTCCAAAATTAGTCCCCGACGTTTAATTTGGACACTTTAGGTCCCTTGACTTTCAATTTCTTTCCAATTAAGGTCCTTTCGTTAGAATATGGTTCATTAAACTTTAAATGAAGGGGTAAACTCATCCTTTCATCTGCCTATGTATTATTCGTCGTATTTCTCCCTTCGTATTTCACTGTTATACCTTGTAAACATCTCAATAATAGAGGAATGCACACACGAGGGTAGTCAGCAAATGGGGAACGATGAGGAACATTTTAGGGTTTCGACTAAGATTATCTTCATATATATCGCGTATACAATGGAGAAATACTAAGAATAATACATAGGCAGGTGAAATGATGAGTTTACCCCTTCATTTAAAATTCAATTAATCGTATTCTGACGAAAGGACCTCAATTGGAAAGAAATTGAAAGTCAAGGGACCTAAAGTGTCCAAATTAAAAGTCAATGACTAATTTTGAAAAATCAATATAGTCGGAGGACCATTGCTGGAATTAACTCTTTTGTTTAATTATTTAATGGAATAAAGGAAATTAGGCTAAACCTCAACCTGAAGACGAGGGAAATTTATATTCTGGATCAAGGTTCATATAATATTATAGGCCTTAGAGCAACCTCAATAGCGAAATTTTTAGGTTATTTTTGTCATAGTCATGTAAGAGAGAGAAAAGAAAAAATAGGGAAAAAAAGCACATAAAAAATAAAAATAAAATAAAAAAATCACCGTGGTGCATGTTCTGCACGCACCAGTTGGGTGCTACTGTTTTTCAATTTTTTAGCTCTGCAAGTGGGTCTCAATAAGAATTCCTATTTGCAGTAAGAGCATCCACATCAGTGGATTATACTTGATTTTTGGAACAATAGGAAAAAATGGGTAGTGATTTTTACTGATGTGGGGTGCGTTTTTTTGACAAAATAAACTCCTGTAAATTAAGTGATTGTAAGGTCCAAAGTTTGACTATTGAATAATAACTCTACTTCTGTATCTGCATGATGGAGACGCAGTACGCCCAACTGGGTGTGTGCGCCCGCTGGCGTGTAACTACCTACCTAACTTTTTTATTTTTTATTTTTTAAATTCGTGGCATGCTCATTTTTTGTTTTGTTTTATTTTGTTTTATTTTTTTATTATTTTTTTTCCTTTTTTTTTTTTTACCTCCTCATTCTCACTTAAATGCTATTGGATTTTATAAAGGCCATATTTGGTAAAAAATTAGCCTATAGGTCAATTTTATCTTATTTGACCACTATTAATTGTTTGATTTACTTAAAATATCAATATAAATGTTTGGTTAATTAGCTTTTTGCAACTTCAAAAGGCTAAAATTCAAAAAAGCTACTCCAAACAATTTTTTCAATTAACTTTTTTAGAAAAGAAATTATAATAAACATTTATCAGCTAACAGCTAATTTACCAAACACTTTTCTATAATCAACTAATGGTATCAACTATCTATATCCTCTAATTAACACAATCAGCTAACAACCATTTTACCAAACAGGGCCAAAATTTAAACAGTCTTGTTAATAAAGGACAAAAAATGATCATGTCACAATAATATTATGATCAAATGAGGATATTTTGAAAAAAAAAATGACAAAGTATATTATCACATATAGAACCAAAAATGAAATTAACTCTTAAAAATTACAATGGTTACAAAAACCGACATTTTATATTATTTTGTTAAATTTTAAAGGCTTTAATATAATTGCTATGGATAATTGTGTGTATTGTGGAAAAATACAAATGTTTGAGATTTTTTTTTTAAAGCGAGTTTTAAAAGTTTGAATATAATAGTCACAAAATACAAACGTTTGAGATTTTAGCGTAACTACTTACTATGACTAAAAAAAATGTTTAATATTATTCTTTTAAAAGTAACGCCAAACTATGTAAGTCGGATAGTTGGTTTAGAAACTCTATTCAATGAAATTTTGTAAATCGGATACACAAAATGAAGTGTGGATATAATTTTTTAAAAAAAATAAAAATTACAAAAAAATATATCACTACTAGTTAAAAGCGTGTTCGAAATGAAATTCACTTTGTGATTATAGTCACTAAAAGGCTATAATAATGTAAATTTATCTAAATTCTTATAAAAAGTTAAATTTAAAATTTTGCAATTTAATTGTTTTTTAAAAAAAATTAATTATTTGATCAATTCAATTGAGCTGTCCTAATATGGATAATTATCCCCGTGACCATGAGAGATTGAGATGAATCTAGAAACTTAAATAAATAATTCTAAAAACATTACTTTCATATAAAGAAACACTGCGAAACTAAATTAAATTCCAAAAAAGAAAAAGAAAAAAATCCTAGAGAACCAGACAGAGGCAGAGCCCGAGAGGCCAATCGGGCATTGATAAGTAGAACCCAGACACACCCACTTCGCGTTCTCTAGAACACTCATCTCTGTTTCTCTTCAGAGTTTTGATTATCTTTCTGCTTCCAATTTAACGGAAGAAACACAAAAAAGGTGGGAATTCCCTTCCTTTTTATTTCATTTTCTTATTCTCCTCCTCCTCTTGCTGCGCATTTTTTCAATTCCTTTTCACCCATCCCACTCCGTCTTTGTATCCGAGCACTATGGAGTTTTCTTTCTCCATTCTTTGAATTTATGGTTGTTAATTTGTATATTGCTCTCTGATCTTCTTATAATTTTACGTTTTTTATTATGTGGGTTATTGAATACTTTGATGTTTCAATTGGGATTCTGGTGTAATTTGTGGTCGGATTTTTGAACAAGGAATGGAATTGATTGGATTTGGGAATGATTATTATGATAACGATGGGGTTTTTATTTGGAACGTGGACTAGACAGTTTGATCTACGCTGTTAAAGTATCTAGACAATTAGTTTGTTTTGTGGACTATTCACAGCAGCACAAATTCTGTCAATATCCAGGTTGGAATTTTGTGTTTATACCTATGAGCTTGACTTGTATGGGTTTGAGGGGTGGGTAGATTCCATATTTTGTGATTTTGGATTGTGGTTTGTGTAATTGTTAGGAATGATTGGTTATGTGCAGAACATGAGAGGCATCATTTGGTGATTGTTCTGAATTCTGATATCAGTATAGTGGCCTTGATTCTACATTTCTTTGTTAATTTTGACTTTTTGATGTTTCTGTGTTGTTCTATGATGACCTTCTTTGGTTGTGGTTTGGACTTTTAACTAGGTTGATGGGCTGTTTGTCAGAGGTAATGGAGCCTAGAATTGACTTTCTGCAATGGGTTGAAAAGGATGTGATCGTGGAGATCATGCTGAGTTTATGTGATCCAGCTGATGTGGTGCATGCTGGAGCTGTGTCACGCGTCTGGCGTCATTGTAGTAAGTAGCGAATTTTGCATTTGCTTTTCTTTTTGTTATAAGTAGTCTGGTGATCTTGTTTTTAATGATCGATAGTGTTGGTCAAATTCATTGCACGATTGTGTTCTTCACTTGTTCATGTCGTTAATCCATATTTGATATTCATGATTTTATTGTCAGCCAGTCTTCTTGTTCTTGCTCCTTGTACTCTGTGAGGCAACTCCGTATGGAAAATAGTGTGTGGACTCTCATTCTCTAATCCCAATTTTTACTCCCGCTTTCAAATTCTTGATGTAGAGACAATTTTGGGACCCTCATGATGAAGATAGCTTATCATTGTTTGCCACATCAGGAGTAAAGGTGGGGGAGTAAAAATTGGGAGAACATGTAGTAGAACTCATTCCTTATACGTGCAAGCTACTAGTAGTATTTGTATCGCACTAAAGTCCGTATGCTTTAGCAGGGCACAACTTTTTTCACCACCTGCATTTTCTACTTTATTTATGTGCTTTAATTTTCTATTTACTTGCTTCATGTGTGATAAGACAACCATGTTTGCTTGGACTTGCCTAGTTTCTGTTTCTAATTTTGTATTCAAAACCATTTGCTGTCCTCATGGGAGAGGGTAAGCATATCCAGTGGTATTGCTATTTGATAGGAGGCCATTTAAGTCGTTGAGAAATGGAGAAAGTGGTACTGCAAGATATATGAAGACACTAGATTAAACATTGACTTATTTGCAGTGATCGAAAATGGAATTTCCAAGCAATTGTGCTTAAGAAAGTTTCCCCAGCTTTCCGGTGTTGCATGCATAGTCGAAGAAGGTTGCAGAACAAATGAATCATCTGTTGTTGGATCTAGCAATTCTGACTTTGAGACTCTAAGGAGAGACCATAGGGTTTATGCTTCTCTACTTCAAGCTCTTGAGACACTAGCATTATCTCCAACTGATTGTATTGAGTATGCAATCGGGGCTTCGAGTACAGACAATTATCCTCTTGAAAGTATTGCCAATACTCTATATCCAAGGGAAAGATATCTGAATAGAGCTTCATACTGGTCCAGTAAAGGACAGCGTAAGCCTGATGTGCCTGAGACTCTTATATACAGATTAAAAGCTGATTTTGCCGTTGTGACTGAAATTAAAATACAACCCTTTGAAGGTATTTGTTTTTATTTTGGGCCATCACTGTTTTATCTTGCAACTGTTTATACCATAATTTCTTCACTGTAAACTCAAATTTTTGTTCAGCCTATTTTCAACCGGGCAAACCCATATACTCGGCAAAATCTGTACGATTTCGAATGGGCCATCCCAAATCTTCAAAAGAAATAGACTGTCTGGACGTACCCACGGACCAACCAGCTGATGATAAGTTTGTATGGACCTATACATCAGAAGAATTCCCAATGTCCCAGGTCTTCTCTCTACATTATCTACATTTTGATTGTCCTGTAAACTTCAGTTTGAATTGTCTTGTTGCATATGCTGAACATAAGCACTGTATTGTTCTGATATACTTAACTGCTAATTATTAATGAGAGGTACTATCATCTGCCCTCGATTTCAGCCTCATAATCTCTCTCTAATTCTTATAAGATCTGGTGCATCTTCTTTGTAATTAACATAAAACCTCCATTGTTGCACTTAAATCTCTGTGTTTAACCAGCTTAGTTGGCGTAAGTGGCCGTGCACTCTCGTCCCTTAAGAGAGGTCAGGAGTTCGAACCCCCTCTCATATGGAAAAAACAAATCTGGCCAGCACTTTGCCCCTTAATTGGGCCGGCCCGGTGCGAACGGGGATTAGTCTGAGTATGGTACGGGCTTAACGGTGCCTCCTACAGTTAGGGTTTGCTCAGGACACCTCGTGGTCTGACAAAAAAAAAATCTCTTTGTTCCAGTTTATAGTGATTCTCGATGTCTAATAATCATCTTGTTGAAAATCAACTTCTGGTTAAAAGATGTATGACAATTCTACAATAACACGAAAATGAAAAATCATGACTTTTCCATGGACAGGAGAACCGCATGCAGGCATTCCAGCTGCCGGAACCAGTTCTTTGCATTGGTGGGTATCTGCAGATTGAGCTCCTAGGCAGAGTTCAGAGGCAAGAAATTGATGACTTATTTTATATATGGTTAGTATTTCAACTTGCATTTCTTAGGTTAGACATTAGCCATGTATTCTTGTTGGGAACCGCATTTCAAACAACTAGCTTACTTGTTTTTCATTAATATGTGCAGTGTGTGCCATGTTAAAGTTCTGGGCCGACCCCTCAGCCCCGCATTTGAAATAGAGATGCTCGAACAATCTGGAAAATTCTCTATGGTCTACAGCCCGGAAGTGTTGAAGCCCATGTTGCAATCCTTGGGCGAGGGTGAAGATCACGAGGCCTCCTCGAGGCTGTCTGAGCAAGAGGTGAGACATATCGGTTTCTTGGGGTATTTGTTGGGTGGCAACCAACCAGTCGGTGAACTCCTGGAGTGGGAGGACGACGAGGAGATGGATGCAGCTTTGGCGTTGTGATTTATAATATGTGATTTTATATTTTTCGTGCCTTCTGCATTTGTTTTCTTTGTGCTAGCAACCACATGGAAGGCTGTGGAATCCTATGTGCACTCAAAAACCAACACTAACAATGTGTAAAATTAGGAATTTTGTGATGCTTCAAGGGGGTTAGTGTCTTAGATGAATGAAAACTTGTTAGTTAGGATTCTTCTGCCCTTTTTATACAGTATTATGAGTAATGCACCAAGTAACTTACCAAATGAGCACTAGAGTTCCATGAATTTATATTTTTGTTTAAAAAAATGTATAATTATTTAATGGAATAAAGGAAGGGCAATTTATATCATGGATCAAGGTTCACATAACACTATGGATCTTAGATCAAAATGATGAGGTACAAAATTTGTATTCGTAAAGTTATATAAGACACAATGACTAATTTGTTTCAGGTACATAATTTACATAAAACAAAAACTTATAACATAAGATAGATACACATGCACTAGGGTACATAGTGCGTTGTGAACCTTGATTCATTGTACAAGTATTGGAAGACGAGGATTGCGGCTAAGGGGAAACCCTAACCAAGCCCTTACGCATTGGAAATTCTAACCAATCTCTTATCCATAGTCCATACTCGGACAAAAGTGTGGTGGAGGTGACTACGCTATGCGATAGGAGGTAATCAGGTAAATAGTAAAGATGGATATAGTTTGAACTGATCAAAACTGGAATTATAAATATGGTTCTAGTTCAGCTTTATTAAATAAAAATCGAAACCGTTGATTCTACTTCAAAATTAGTCCATGCTAATTCCGAATAAGAAAAAATATTTTAAAAAATAATTGTTAAATTTTAACTATTTTTCAAATAAAAAATAATTTATTTTAAAAAATGTTCGAACCAACCGTTCAAACTAGAACCGCCAGTTCCTAAACCCAAAACCGTAAATTGACAATTTAGAACCAAAATCGAACTGCAGTCATAAGTACTAAATGAGTTGTGCATTATAGTGAATAGTGAAGTCCTAATTTCCTCTTGATTTTGAGAAAAATGGAAATTGCTTGTTAGCAAAGAGTAGATAACTCTAATATTCTCCAAAATCTCTACAACTTTCATTATCATCTAATCTCTTCACTTTCCAACATGCAAAAACCATGAATGACAGGAGCAGAACACTTCAATAGAACTTTCAACTTCTAACTGATTTATTTTCTAATGTAGCAGAGTTACAGATCATAGATCAGACATACCCTATACCCCCCAATTATACATATGAAAAAACACATGAAAAAAAAAAAAAAAAAAAAAAAAACACATGAGAATATAATGTCTAAGAGTAGTGAGTTTTGCACAAATGGCTCTAAACCACATACGCGCAACGATGACAGTCTTCGCAAGAAGTTTAGCACGAAGAATTATTCTAGCAGTTCTGATAAGCATTCAGCAACATCGGCTCTAATCAGGTTGCCTTCGCCTTTGCTGGTGGTGGCGGGAGCAGCTGTAAATGGAAGGGAGACATTTGTTATAGAATTAACGGTAACGCTACAAACGATGCAGCTTTGGGACCAAGATCTTCCGCTTTTGAGATAATATCTAATCTAATTAATAATTACGCCTTAAACAAACTATTTTAACTTTGTCGATGTGTAAGAAGAACACAATGGCTGAGTATCGGGCAGAAAAAAAGGCAAAAACGGAAGTAAACTGGTGAATAGAACTGACAGGTTACCTGATAGCAGGAGATTAGAGAGGTAACGAATCCAATGGCTCCAGTCACACGTGGAGTTACTTTCTTAGGTGCCAATTGAAGCAACCCAACGGCAACCACAATATCCAAGGCAGCTTTAATCAGGGCAAGAGATCTATCATTTGACTTCTGAAGTTTACTGCGGTATTGCTCATTCTGCAACCCAAACCAACAAAATGTTAAAAGCTACGGAATAGTATCATCCCCACCCAGTGTTGCAAAAATCCCGCCTAGGCGCTGGCCAGCTAACTAGCATATCACCATAATCGGTGGTCTAGACGGTTGGCCGGCTAGGCCGCCCTAGGCGCTGACCGCCTAGGCCTCCTAGGCGACCTAGTACCTAGTCGGCCGATTAGCTATTGTTCCCTTCTTTTTTAAATGGTTATTTCACTCAAAATGACATCCATCGTTTTGAGCGAAATAACCCTAAATTGTTCAAACTCTAGATGTTTTTTAGGTTAATAATTTAATATTTTAGTATTAACTATTAAAGTATTAAATAATTTATACTTATCATTAAAAAAAATAAACTAAAAAATACACGAGCGCCTAGCCGCTGATTAATCGCCACCTAGGCGCCCCCTAGCGCCCGAGGCACCCAAGGAGCGCCTAGCGATTTTTTCAACCATGTCCCCACCAAAATATTCCAATGCACGGTGAAGAGTAGGAAAACCTTGTATTTGTCAGTATTCTTAAGCTCCTTCTCCAACTTCTTCATCGACACTGAAAGCCTTCCAAGCTCCCCAATCTGGAGAGAGAAGTGGCACCAGAAACAATAAAATGCAATTAAAGAAAATATGGAGCATAGAAACCTAGATTTGTATTGGTTATTAGTATCAACACCATTATGCTAAAAGAAAAGACCGGCATCAGACCTCAACCAAGGTGGTACAAATCGACGAACCCATCCAGCAAAAGAGGGAGATCCTACCAAGTAACTCAGAGCGCTCTTTATTCTATGTAAATCACATTACAAATCAGCTTCAATTAAGTACGTAAAAAGAAACCATTCCAAAAGCATTGAAAGATCAAGGTTTAAAGCTTAAAACCTTATATATGCCTGTCCTGCCAAGCCATACAATTTGATCCAGGAACAAGAAAGTTGACAGCAACGCATTCTTTGACTGAAGCCATTTATAACTTTAATGTTAAAAGAAAACTATACGTTTTCACAAAAATCACATACTAATAGTCCACTTGTCTACCTTTCCCAACAAGATGAGTGGAAGCGGGGTTCCTGGAGCATTGGGACTGATAAGACCATGCAGATCATTGACAAACTGCACACATAAAAATTGTGTCAAACTTTCTAAACCACATAGAAAAATTCAATAAAACAAAAAAAAGACAAATCATGGAATCCTCATTGTAACTTCCCCCCCAAAATTAGTCACCACACAGCTTATACTTATGATGCATAAGTAAATTAAAAAAAAAAATCAGATACAAAATGCTCCAGAAAGGCAATAAGAGTGAATCAAGAAAACGTCATTTCAGACCTTAAAAAGACGGAACACTTTGCGTGCTAAACTAGTTGATTTATCAACATTTTGGGCAGTTCCAGGCTCCCCATTACTCAAGAACTTGGAACCATACTGAATTGCCCTGCATATCTTGTCCCTTGCCTCTGCTTTGTTCAAATACAGCACTGCAAGAGCAAGTTCGGTCCTGGCTACATCTAAGGTACTCATTATGTCTTACACACACTGCAAAATTTAGAAACAAAGGATTAATATTAATAAAGAAACACAAACACAAAAAGCTAGGGTATGATTGGGCAGTCTTGAAAAACAAAATCCCTTAAACCAAGAACCTTTTGTAACAAAAATGGAACTATGTATGGAAAATCTACACTTCCATGGGTATTTATTCAGCATCCACTCGAAACCGAGAATTCGAGAAAAATCCATTTAGCTACAACAGGCAATAATCCATGATTCCAGTGGGAAATATTAATCTGTTTATATTTGCTTCATCACTCTCTTGCTTCCTAATCCCTATGCACATGCCTCATCAATTAACATCACCCATCAGACATAAATATTGCATAACAGAACATACTTTCATTAAAATCACAGTCCACAATTAGCAAACAAAACTAATCATTAAAATTTCAATCCAGGCAGAAAAGCAAATACTTTACCCTCCAAAACAGTGTGGGTTGATTTACATCCAATCAAAACGATCTCTCACAATTAACCACAACCAATACCATAACATAAATCAAACAAAATAGTTAACTGAAACCATAAAAGACCTTACTTCCACACCTCAATCAAACAAAAGAGAAATTTAGGGTTCTTGGACTGTACAAATAAATATAGACCGAGGGAGAGAGAGAACGAGAGATTTATATTACCTGCGAAGTGCTACTATGCACGACCCTCGGTATCGAAGATCACAAAGTCCGAATTGTCTGAAGCCTTGAAGGAAATAAATCCTCTTGGAAGATCAGACTTTAGATGGCGTGGGCGCGTGGCTAAGTGAGAGTTGTGATAAGGCTTGTTTGGTCCTCCTCAATTCCTAAAACCGAGAAAACTGCTAAGGCAAATAAATAAATTAAATAAAAATTCTGGCTTCTATTTGCGATATAGGAAAATTTTTATAATTTTCTAAAAAATTATTTTCAATTCATTCTAATAAAATCTTCAAAATAATTTGTATAGATAACCATTCTTAAAATAGATTTTCATAAGCCATAAGTATTTTGCATAAGTGTACGCAAATATCATAAGTGAATATATAATATATGGAGTATTTGTATGTATACTATAAGTGTACCATAAATACCATAAATGAATACATATTGTACCTTCCTATTATGTCCATATTTTTGTGCTTTCGAGATTTGGATTAAAAATGTTATAATTTTATAGAGGTGTAATCAAGAAGAGTCAAGTTTGAACACTACAAACTCGATACGTGAGCCTGTCGAGCTTCAATTCGTTCAACTAAAATTATGAGTTATTTGAACTTTGTGTGAATATATAGATCTGAATAAGTATATTGTTGTGGGTATTTCGCAAATATAGATATATCAAAATGTAATATGTATTCAAGTGAATTATTAAGATATTCAATTTCAATTGCATGGAATGTCGCTGAAGTTAAAGTACTACAGAATTATATTTAATTTTGTTAGATTCTATGGATCAGTTTTAAGTTCCAAAACTGTATCCACCAATTCAGTTTCAATATTCTTCTCACACGATGGACAAGTCGCAGTAGTCTTAGCCTTAGGAGGCTGATCGGAAAATGGCGGCCGCGTATCGAATTTAAACGAGGATCGTAGCTCATGCAACTCTCTCTTCAGTCGGCGGTTTTCGTAATTCAGACTCTCGCAGTACTTCTTCAAGTGGTTGCAATCCGCCTCAGTTTGCTTCAGTTTAGTCCTGTAAATGAAGATGTTTTTTATTGAAAGTGTAAATGAAGATGTAAACTCTCAAGAAAGATGAATTAGATCAGAAGGGTAACTCAGTTAAGTTGGTTAAGTTCGATAGCAATCGATGGACAACCTAAGTGGATTTAACTTTTGTGTCCTCTGTCAGCTAGAGTTACATTGTTGGGTTTAACCCAATGCATACCTTCGGAGTAGTAAACCGCGGGCTTTCCATGTCCAAAACCCTAATTGTTACTTGCTATAGCAAGTCAATCAGCGGAGCTTCGGCGACATTCTGGCAAAAGATTGCCCAGTAGGTCGCCAAATAAGGCAACCAAATTGGTCGCCTTCTCCGGTCGACCGAGACGATGACTAGTTTGATCGTCTTTTTCAGCGACCAACTGGTCAATCTTTTGCCAGAATGTCGTCGGAGCTCCACTGACCTGTTATATAGCAGGTCACAATTGGGATTTTGAGCCTTGATGCACTAAATTAATATGTTAATGTGTGTAATAACAACTTTTAAAAATTCAAGAGTCTAATTGACTTCTTACATAAAGCTAGAGGGTATATATATTTGACTATTTCCCTAAAAAAATGTTATGAAGCAAAGAGAATGAATGAATCACCTTGCTCTCCGGTTCTGAAACCAAACTTCCACTTGTCTTGGCCTGAGATTCAACTTTGTTGCAATATCATGTTTTCGACCCTACAATTATGTATGTTTTTACCTTAGGATTTTTCTTCAATTTGAAATAACTTTCTGACCATGAGGGTATGTGATTAACCAATGAAGAAGAAAGAAAACAAGAAACAATGGAAGGAAATTAAAGGTAATGAAGCCATTATATTATTATACCATGGTAAGGGTGGTATGGTGTTTGAAACATTCTTCAAGTAATGCTGACTGTTCTTCATTTAACCTCAACTTCTTCCTCGTAAGCCCATTATTGTTGTTGGTCCTGTAAGAATTCTGGGATTCCATTAAGGTTTTGGAGCTCTCAATAATGTCATTTGAGTGTGATGGAAGGGAGAGATCCAAAGAAACACCAAAACCACTTGTTTTCTTTGGTGAGTTATCCTCTTTTGGCAGGCTGCAGTGACCTAATCCCAGTCTGAGATCAAGCTTCTGGTCATCATCTTCTGCCATGGCTAATGGCTTGAAGGATGAAGATGCAGAATTATATGGATGCAAGTTTTAGCAATGGTACTTATTAGTGGAGTCTGGGAAAAGTTACAAAGTGAGATAATATGCAATTATGGCATCAGTTATGAGTAAGACTTGGGTGCTATCAAGAATTCAATTAAGGCTTTTGACTGTCTTTCTTTCGATCTGCTTTTTTTTGTGTTGCACTCTTAAAACTGTCAGCCTAAGAAGATTATCATAATTCATCATTAATGGATATAAGTTATTAAAACACTAATATGGAATCCTGCTGAAACATTTTTACAATTTTAATCCCCATTTTTTTTCCAATTACTTTAATATTATTACATCATAACTTGTGCCAACAAATTAATTAATTAAGATATATATATAGTCCGACCATTTTTTTTTTTTGTTACTATTCTTTTTTTTTTTTTTTTAAATCATCCGAGTGGGATACTGATTTATTAAAAAAAGCTTTGACTATTGAACATTCATTATTTAATGGACTCTGATCTATAATTAAGTAATATTAAGTAGGGGTATAATCGAGCCGAGCTCGAGTTCGATCGAACTCAAAAATTGAAGCTCAAGCTCGGCTCGATTATGAAACGAGTTGGCTCGAGTTTGAAGTTGGCCGAGCTCAAGTCAAGTTTTGACCGAGCGGTTCACAAGTCGCTTGACTTTAATTGTGTGTTATAAATGATTCGTGGACGACTTAATGAGCAATAAGACTAAAACATTTAAATTTGAATTCGACTCGATTACGAAATGAGTAAACTCGAGCTCGAAATTGATCAAACTTGAGCCCAACTTTGATTGAACAACTCTGATCATTTATACCCCTAATTCTGAGTGGTAAACACATACAGGAAATAAGCATTTTCCATTAGAAGTAATATGAAATATTATTCAAACACATACAGTTGGGGATTACATTACACTAGCTTTGTGGTAAACAAGCTTCTGAGTCTCCCTCTCTCCAAACGCTGGAGCAACTTTTTGGCACCTGGAACATCCATTTCAGAGAGCTTCTTCAGGTACCCAATCGCCCCATACGAAACCATCAGCTTCTTGCATTTGTGGCTCGAGGAGAGCAACGCAAGGCACGAAACTGCATACTTTTTGGCTGTGTTTTGCGGGCTCGGCTCCAATAATTGAACCAAATTCGGCACACTCTTATCCATCTTCTTAATCTCCCTGCAATTATGCGCAACACTCATCAGGCTAGCAATGGCTTGCGCTGCAACTTCTCTTGCGCTATTCGCTTTCGCCTCGAGCAATTTCACCAGAAGAGGGATGCATCCTGCTTCGCCTACGATGGATTTCGCTTCGGTGGAAGTGCAGATTTTGCATATAGCTGAAGCTGCGGCCTGCAGTTCAAACAATAAGCCTACTCAATTTGCACCACTCGATTAAAATTCTATTATATAATGACTATGTTTGACAAATTTAGCTGAAAAGCTAACAAGCAAGTAGGTGAAAGTTAAAAAGTTATAAATTAGAAGCTGAAAATTGAAGAGCCGTCAAATTATGCAGTGTTGGATAAAATTAACTTTTTGATAAGCTAATAAAAAAAAAAAAAAAAAAAAGGTCAAAAGAGTTTTAGAAGTAAAAAGATGAAAAAAAAAAAAAAAAATTGGAAACTATTAGTCAAAATAAGCTCTTATTTTAATTTACTAAATTATTTCATAAACATTACTAAACATAAGTTTATCAGTGACTTAAAATAAGTTAGCTCTTAAAGTTCTTGAAAAATAAGTTATAAATTTCTAAATAAACTCTGCCCAGCTATAAGCTATTATTAGAAAAATCTTACCTGTTGGGCTCCAATGGAGCCGGATTTCAGGACGTGAACTAGTCTCGGAATGATTCCCAGAGAAACCAGGGAATCCATGGCGACATGGCTGATTAGGTTTCTCAACGCGCCGACGGCGGATTCCTGCGGCAGCGGGCCGTCTAAATACGCCAGGAGGCTGCGGATTCCGCCCTCGGAGATGACGGATCGTTTGAGGCTATCGTTGCTGGAGGTGAGATTCTGCAGGCACTCGGCGGCGTACTCTTTTGCGCCGAGAAGAATGCCGCCGTCGAGGAGATCGATCGTGACTTTGATTATGCCTTCTTCAACCATCACTTGCCGCGCCTCCGGCACGGCGGAGATGTTCTTCAAGGCGCAAGCGGCGGCGGCCTGAGAGACAGAATCGCCGGTTCTGCAAATATCAATCAGCGGCCTAACGCCGCCGTGGCCGACGATCGAGCGAGCCGTTTCCGGCGACATCGAGAGTCTCTGGAGAGAAATCGCGGCCTTCTCTTTCCCCAAACCGGTGCCGGATTCCACCAGGCGGATCAGCGGCGGGAGAACGCCTTCCGAAACCAGCCAATCCTCGCAGTTCCCCGATTCCGCTAACGAGCATATCACAGTTACCGTTTTCTCTCTCATTTTGGGAGAAGTAGCGGTTAGGAGCTGAACTAGGGCTGCAATATTGCTGCGCCCTAGAACAGCAAGAACACTCTTCTCGTCGTCTTTCATGGCGTCCAAAAGGCAATCGATCGCTCTGTGTTTCGCCTCCAAGTGCCCGATTTGAAGCCGGGCAAGCAATTCTCTCAAATTCAAATCCCCTGAATCAGCCTCTGCTGGGAAAGTGACTTCCCCAAGAACTCCTGTTTTGATCAACAGCCCACAATCGCGCAAATTCAAATCCAGTTTCCCAGATAAAGCATCCAAATCGCTTTGCATTCGAAGCTTTCCCTCATACTTTTCTCCCACACATATCTCAGCCATCTCCATAGCTTCATTCAGTGTCTGCAACACTGCCTGCAGCTGTTCTTTGCAGAGAGCATTCTTGGAGAAGCATGGATGGCTTGACAAATCTGATAACTTTGAAGGGATTTGCTCCAATTTCGAAACAATCATCTTCCACCTCCCTGGAAATCCTTTCACCTCTCTAGCCCTCTTTAGAGCCTCAGGAACAAGCTGCTGTGCTTTCACTAGCCACTCTTCTGCAGACAAGTTTTCGCCCCCGTTTTTCCCACAATCTTCACCCATTTTCTCAGACTTTTGCTGGAATCACAGGAAAAATCTGCACCATAGAAAACAATCAAACTTTCAGAAATCAGTGTTGGGCCGAGGGCAAAAGGGCCAAGTCAGAACCCTACCTCTCGTGGCAGTATTAAGAAATAAAGTTACGCATTCGCTACCAGTTATAGCTTAATAATTCGAATCAGCCATATCAAGAAATGAAGTTCTTGACAGAATGGAAGGAACAGCTTTCATGGAGCCAAACAAAAAGGGGTGGTTGAGATAGGGAAAGCATTTAAGAAATCATCTATGTGATCTGTCATATAAAGATGAAAGCTTTTGGTGGTGTATCAATGATGAACATTAAACTATAGAAGCTATAAATAATAAATGGGGAAGGGGCCAAATTACAGAGTTTTCGAGAATCTTGATATGATCACACAAAGCTCATTCCTTTAAAACGAAAAGGGACACGGCAGCTACCATGGCCGACCCACAAACGTTTTCTCAAACAACTTTTATGGAATCATATGATTCAAACAGTCATTAAATACAAGAAAAAGAAACCATTTAAAAAACTGGTGATGAAAGTGAAAGACAGAAACTTCCAACGCCTATCCTACAACCATAATAAAAGCAGTCGGTAGATACTTTCACCATATGTCTCAACAGCCCTGCACACGTGTGATGTCTATTCTATGGATTTCGCAGACAACCTTAGTAATCATAAGGTTCTAAGTTCTATTTTTAGTGAAAGGAGTCTATTGACCTTCTTGCTTGAGTCAACTATGGACAACCTAGACTGTTTACCTAGGATCACAAGTCGAGGTTTACCCGTTCTGGGTAGTTCAGTGATCAAGCAATAAAGTTATATAGGATTTGATACTTACTCTAGATTGAAGTATTGAATTCTACTTCAAGAATATGATAGCTTTAAGCATATAGATCTTATCCAATGGCCAAGAGAAAAGCCAAACCTTCAAGGGAAGTAGAGACCCACAGTTTTATGTATTTTTTTTAAATTGTTAAAACTTTAAATTCATATATCAACTGTTAGTGCATACATGAGTGGTATTTATGTATGGTATGGAAAAAGAAAGAGTCTTTGCTTTGAAGAGAAGTCTTTATCTCTACTTATATTCTTGAAAAAATGGCAAAATATCTCAAACAGTACTCACAAAACAAAATAGGCTGCAGTGGAAGAGAATAAACAGAAATAATTGATCTTTATACCTCAAGTTGACTGGGATTCAAGTCATCCAAAGCTTTAAGGAGTTACTGGGACTGTTCCAACACTGTTTCAACAACCAAAAATCACAAATGCTGTTAGCCAAAACAATAATCTAAGCTTTCAAGAATGGCATAATTTGGAATTTGAAAATTTAGCAGCTTTTTAACATTAAAAAAATGTTGGGAAAGTGGAAAAACCCAACCTTAAAAGACACAGAAACAGGGATCAAACAGTAGATTTAGCTCACTTGTGACCAAAACTGAGAAATTCTTCCAGAAAATGGAAACTCTAAGGTGAAAGAGGTGTTTGGTTTAGTTCAAAGACTGAAACTTTGAATCAAATATTCAAAATTTTTGAAGGGAAACTAAGAAGAAGAAGCAGAATGGATACAGACCCAGAGTTTTTTCTTCTTTTTTCTTCTAGTTTATGCACTCCAGCTTGCTCTAGCAGAACAAGACAACCATCTCAATCTCCATTCAAAAATCAAAAATCTCTCTCTCTCTCTCTATCTCTCTCTATCTGCAAAGACCAAGTGAGAGTTGTCTTCTTCTCACCTCCAGTTTCCAAATTTCCAAGTGGCTCTCTTTGTATATGGTGTACAGATAGATAGTGAGGGCGTGTAGGTATTTGACGGTGGAGATTGCGGGGGAGGAACAGTAGATCAGACCGTTGAGCTGAAATTTGAAAGTGCAACTTCCGTATTTTGGGAATTTATGAGCAAGTAGTTTAACGTTATCGAGGATGAGGGACTGACATGGCAGGATTGCTGTGCCACGTATGAGAGAGACTGAACGAAGCAGTGTTTAAAATTGCATGCGTGCCTTTGGGGAAATTCATGGTTGGATATTTTAAAAAGAATAATCTTACCACCTCTTGCTAATCGGATTACTAATAAACTTCAAAATTTTCAAGGATCTTGTGGTCTAATAACGTTAAATTACTTTCCTAGATGAATTTTATGGTATAATGACACAAAATTACTCCCTTAAGTAGAAAATTGTGGGATCGAGCCTCCGTGATATTGACTCTTTATGTTTTAATTGGTTGAGATATCAAATTCCTTTATGATATATTAAGGCATCCATAATGGTTCTCTTCTTATCTCTCTATTAATTCATTTATGATATGTTAGTGCATCCATAATGGTTCTCTTCTTATCTCTCTATTAATTCCTTTATGATATGTTAGGGCATCCATAATGGTTCTCTTATGATCTCTCTATTTTGTGTGCACAACTTTTCTTTCTTACATTTTAATCTTCCTTCTTAATTTTCTCTCTAATCCTTTTCCCATTTTTTTCCATTTTTGTGGGCTATACTTTTTCTCACTCTTATATATTATATATTACTTTATTAATTTTTGTATAATTAATACTTTCAACTTTATAACAATAATTTTAAATAAAAATAAATTTCAATAACGAAATAAAATATATTTTAATTTAATTCAAATCACATAAAAATTTAAATTAAAATCTATCATTTTGTACGATATTTAAATTGAAATAAGAACTTTTTAAATAATTTCCAACATCCTAATTAAAATAATAATAATAATAATAATAATAATAATAATAATAATAATAATAATAATAATAATAATAATAATACACATTCAACGGCTAAATAGCTGTTGAGGTGTATTTAGCTTGATAATTAACATTTCAGCTAAATGCGCTGCTAAACTAGGGAACTAGTTGTCGCCCACTAAGCGCCATTAAATGCACAGACCTCATATTCTCCGGAGAGAACTTTCTCTCCGGAAAATATGATTTGCTCCCCTTCAATTGTTTTATCTCTCTTTCTTCCTTTTTATCCCAATTTAATCTCATCCATTGAAGATGCTCTTAGGTGAGAAATATAGCTACTACATCAAAACTCATTTTCTATCAAAAAAAATATGAGTATGTTTGACGAAATATTTCATTTTTACGTGTCAAAAGTCAATAAAAGTAATCTTACCGATCAATTTAAATTTAATAAAAGATATTAATAGTAATATAGAAAACTAGATAAACTTTGAGTGAATTTCAATATGATTCTACAATTATTACATTTTTCACTTTTGGTCATTAAGTTCAAATAGATCATATTTAACCTCCAACTACTGAAAATATTTCACTTGTATGAAGATTAAAACTAGTATATTTTTAATATTTATGCAACTAAATCTAGTCAATTTTAACCTCCAAAAATGCAATAGCTCAGAGACTATTTAAACGATAAAAATTTACAATGTCAATCAACACCAGTATCTTTTACGTCAGTAAAACTATGTATGCTTTCAGTGTGTACAAAGCGCTATCAATTCTTAACCTCACAAAGTACCTAATACAACTCTAATAACACATATAATTATATTTAATACCAAAAAAAAATCAATATTAATCTACACTTGGTATCCAAAATTTATTTGAATATACTTTAAAAAGTAGTATGATAGCATTAGAGTCATGTAAGCTGTGGCAAGTGGGGAAGTACGTGTGGAAAAGTTAAGTAAAGTCCAAGTGCGATTTGAATGTGCACCCTAATTATTCTAGTTTTTGAATTTTGTCGACTTGGACTATTATGTGGCCTGGCTTACAAACACATAATTAAATAATTAATTACTCAACAATCAAAACACAAATGATTAAAATAGTTTTGAAACCCTAAAAGGAATGATCGAGTATGTGAAACATGACTATCATACCTCAAAATTATAACTTCAATTATTGCTAACACTCTCTCGGTCAAACACGTCGCACAGAATCTTTTAATGTCGTTTATACCTTCGGGCGTGCTCGACGCACTCCACAATTCCTATCACTCTTGGTTAGAACTTTCATGGCCATTCATGTAAAAAAGTAAAAAATAAAAATAAAAATAAAAATGATAAGGAAAATAATTTCCGACAGCAGTAAAGGGAGTTCAAAATTTGAAAAAGATGTAGTGTATAGTACAGTAGTGTAGCAATGATGGTGTGGAAATTCTCAATCATTCAGGTTTAACACAAAATCACGTGCCACGAAATTGTAGTGCAGCAATACGTACAATTGTGAAATCCTAATGTTATGGTATTGAGAATCATAAAATGAATGATTTTATTATTATAAATTAATTAAATAGGATTCATTGTGTAATCTACTAGTAGATAGAACAAAATGAGAGTGGAAAGGATCCACACAAACACATTTTTTTTCCTTGACAACCTTGTTTTCTTTTTTCTTTTCCCTTTTTATCTCCCTTTTCTCCATTTTTTTTTTAAATCTCTCTTTTAAAACTAAAACATAAACAAAAATAAGTATTGAAAATATAAACTTAAAAAAACATGTATTGAACAAAAAAAGATGTATTGAAAAAAAGAAACTTAAAAAAAATATGTATTGAAAATAAAAACTTAAAAAAATATTGCACAAAATAATTAGGCATTAAAACATAATAATAATAATAATAATAATAATAATAATAATAATAATAATAATAATAATAATAATAATAATAATAATAATAATAATAAAGAGATTGATTATTAAATAAAAAAAAAATAAAGATTAATGTTTGACTACATTTAATGAGGTGGTGCAAATAACACTTTTTTATTTGCACCACCTATAAAGCTATTACACCTATTAAATAGGGAGTGTAAATAGCAAAATGGGTGGTGCAAATAGAATTTCTCTTAATTAAATAGGATTTATGGTGTAATCTACTAGTAGAAGTGTAGAACAAAATGAGAGTGGAAAGGATCCACACAACCTTGTTTTCTTTTTTCTTTTCTCCTTTTTTTTTTTTTTTTAAATCTCCCTTTTCTCTCTCATCATGGATACTGATCTGAAAATGATAATACCCTGCAAATTTCAACAAACGGCAGGAGGAGCTCGGCCATCCAATCATGACTTGGCTCAACCAGAATACACACATGCCAATATCTACTTAAACATTTAATAAGTTTAAACAAAAGGACCATTCAAACTGATAAATATTTGTATTATTATTATTATTATATATATATATATATATATATATATATATATATATATATATATATATATATATATATGAACTTAAATTCCAACTCAGCATCGGAAGTATAAATATTGAACCGAGTTAAAAGATTTCAAAATTTAAAATACTAGTAGTATTATTATTATTAATTAAAAAAAGGAGATTTCAAAAGATTTTGAGAAAGGGAG